CGACGCCTACCCGCTGCAGAACCGAAGGCAGCCCCCGGGAACTCTCCAGAGGCCCCGCCCACAAAGCCACAAGCCCCGCCCCTGCCAACTCAAAGATTCCAGCAGCGCTCGTGCCCGCCCCTCTGCCCTCTAGGCCCTGCCCAGTCCCCCGCCCACAACCCACAAGCCCCGCCTCCTCCGTTCGGCGCGTGCAGATTGGCAGAACTATTAGTCTCCGCTTCTCGGAGGTATGAACTTCGGCCCGAGTTTACACATTCTCTTCACGCGGCGCTACAGGCCCCGCCCAATACAACTGCAAACTTCGCCTCACAGAGCCCTGGACACTGCAGGGAATCCCCCAGAGGTCTTAACTCTGTCGGGGGACGATGTAAACTCCGCCCTCCAGGGAACGTGTGAAGTTCCCCTCAACCTCTTCCTCAGGCTCCGCCCCCAGCTACAAGCCCCGCCCCCCTCAAGCTCACAAAAGTGGAAGAACTGCGCCCTCGCAGGACTGTCACACCTCGCCCGGAGGCAGCGGTTCACCTACACGGAGCCACGCCCCCGGGACCGCCCACGAAAGCTACGAGCCACGCCCCTGTGGGAGGCCCTCGAGTCCCGCCCACACAGAGCGTCCCGGCTGCGGCCTAGCGCACAAATACTACCCTGCGAAGAGCGCTACCGAGCCTCTTATCGCAGGTCCCACCCACACTCAGGCTCCACCCTCTTGGGCGCAAGCCCCGCCCACTCAGCGCCTGGGTCCCTTACCACCTTCGGGGTATGCCCAGATTCACCAGTCCTCCGAACCCCCATCTCTCACCAGGATGCCCTTGAACTTGGCCCTGGAGCCTTCTCCCTCTACCTACGGTTTCCGTTTGTCCAGATTTCGGGTTCTCTGGGCGAGCCCGGAGACTGGGCCTCGACAGCCGCGCAGATGGCGTCGAAAGGCCTTTGGCGCCACCTGGCCTCGGCCCCGCGGACTTACAGCCACCGCGAGGCCTCGGTAGGGCCCCTCTCTCAAAGCGTACTAATCGCTCAATAAATAGCTGCTTAATTCATTAAATGTTAGTGTTACTTAAATATCTGCTGACTCCCCCCACGGGACAGCCCATCCTTTCGCAGATGCCCTTCGTCATATGTGGAAATTCGTCCCTAAGGGAGCTTCGCACTGGCCCTCGAACCACCCCAGAGCTGAGCTCCCCTGACAGTCTCTAAAGTGACTGGCTGGTCGAACTCTCGCTGTCCCTCCCCAACAAATCCTGTTCTCAGGGGCGAAAGCATCGCCTCTCACCTGGCGACCTAGGGCCAGGTTCCCCCCGCCGCCACCTAGTGCTCCAAAGGCTAGACACCTTCTTTGGGGGGTGTGTTGCGAAGGAGTGGGTTTGGAGGGGGAAGCCCTCAATTAGGAGCTGAAGATCCTAGTTTTTAGAGACAGTATCTCAAGCGAGACGCTATCTCAGCTCTCATCTCTACATGTGAAAATACCGGCCTGGAGGGCAGGAGACGCTGAAGTTCCGGGCTAGGAACCCAGTAAAATATTTTTCAAACATTAGAGCGACAGACAGGGAGCAACGCTTGAGGAGGAAGGGAGCTGACACCACTGAGCTCCAGCTGGGCCCTTTGCTTCCTGCCTTCGCTGCCAAACTTGCCCTTGCCCACCTCTGGGCAAATCAGGCCTGGGGAAAGGGATTCTTTCCAGACCACGTTCCAATGCTCGTACCCTGGCCACTACAAATGGAAGTAGGATTTAGTGCTAATAATGACTATAATAACAGTGAATGCTTGAAGCACTTCTGGTTTTTTTTTTTTTTTTTTTTTTTGGGGGTCCTGTTCTGTCGCCCAGGCTGGAGTGCAATAGCAGGATCTCGGCTCACTGCAACCCCCGCCTGCCGAGTTCAAGCGATTCTCCTGCCTCAGCCTCCCAAGTTGCTGGGATTACAGGCACCCACAACCATGCCCGGCTAATTTTTGTATTTTTAATAGAGACAGGGTTTCACCATGTTGGTCAGGCTGCTTTCGAACTCTTTGCCTCAGGTGATCCACCTGCCTTGGCCTCCCGAAGTGCTGGGATTACAGGCGTGAGCCACCGTGCCTGGCCTGGAAGCACTTCTTATATGCCCGGTCCTTTTCTAAGGGCTTTACTTGGCTTAATCCATATAAGATTCATAACAACCAACATGAAGTAAGTGCCATTCTTACCACAATTTACAGAGTAGGAAGCTGAAGGCACATGCCTAAGTGCATTAAGCCATCTGCCCTAGTTGACCAACTAGTAAATGGAGGTTTGAACCCAGGCAGATCCTGTGATCTTTACCTCCTACAACAAAGCCAGTCCATATGTGATAGCCAAGTCTCTAATCAGAAAATGCCCACACCTGGCCAGATGCGGTGGCTCACGCCTGTAATCCCAGCACTTCAGGAGGCTGAGGCATGCGGATCACTTGAAGTCAGGAATTCGAGGCCAGCCTGACCAACATGGTGAAACCTCGTCTCTACTGAAAATACAAAAATTAGCAGGGCGTGATGGCAGGCGCCTGTAATCTCAGCCACTCAGGAGGCTGAGGCAGGAGAATAGCTTGAACCTGGGAGGCGGAGGTTGCAGTGAGCTGAGACTGCACCACTGCACTCCAGCCTGGGTGACAGCGAGACTCCGTCTCAAAAAAAAGAAAAAAAAAAGGAAGAGGCGGCCAGGCGTGGTGGCTCATGCCTAAAATCCCAGCAGTTTGGGAGGCTGAGGCGGGTAGATCACGAGGTCAGGAGATCGAGACCATCCTGGCTATCACGGTGAAAACCTGTCTCTACTAAAAATACAAAAAATTAGCCAAGCATGGCTCTTCGGGAAGCTGAGGCAGGAGAATGGCGTGAACATGAACCCAGGAGGCGGAGCTTGCAGTGAGCCGAGATTGGTCACTGCACTCCAGCCTGGGCGACAGAGCTAGACTCCGTCTCAAAAAAAAAAAAAAAAAAAATGAAGAGGCTTGCCGTGCAGGTGCCTGGCTTAGGCAACTGACTGAATGTGACTGAATGGTAGCTCTATTTTCTGAGATGGAAGACAGACAGGAGCAGGTGGGGGTGGGGGTAGAAATTACAGGTTCTGTTCCTGCCATGCTGTGCGTAGCCCATGTCAGGAGAGAGCAGAGGCAGAGGCAGCTGGGGTTTGGGAGCCAGACTTTGCACCACTCCTCAGGCATGAATTCTCCTCTTGAGAACAGTCTAGAACAGAACACCCTGGCTTGGTGTTGACTCCAAGAGAGTCTGAACACGTGACCACCCCGTCTCCCATCAGGAGATCGTGAGCTGAGAGTTGTCCATCAAACACTGGGGTTTCTGGGTCCCTCCTCTTCCTGGCTGTGCAGGCCCAGTGCCCTCCCTTGTGAAGTGCAGCTGGGTTTAGAGCCTTGTGACAGTGATCTATTGCATGTAACAAATCACTCCAAAATGTAGTGAATTAAACAAAGATTTATTTCCCCTCATTCTATAGGACAACAGTCTGGGCTGGGATCAGCTTGGTAGTTCATCTGCTGGTCTCATCTTGGGTCACTCCTGAGGCTCCTGTCATCTATGGCTCAACTGGGCCTACAGTGTCTAAGATGGCCTCGGTCATCCCATATCTGGAGCTGATGCTGGCTCTTGGCTGGGGTCCTCAGTTCTCCACGTAGCCTCAAATCTGTCAGGAGGCTTGGCTGGGCATCTTTATAGATGGTGGTCTCAGGATTGCAAGAGGGCAAAGGTGAAAGCTACAAGAGTCTTTCAGGCCTAGCCTCAGAAGTGGGCCAACATCTCTTCCCTCACATCCCATCGGTCACAACAAATCACAAGTCCAGCCCAGATTTAAAGGAGAAACAGATTCCACCTCTGTTTTTCCTTTTCTTTTCCTTTTTTTTTTTTTTTTTTTTTGTGAGACAGAGCCTTGCTCTGTTGCCCAGCCTGGAGTGCAGTGGTATGATCTCAGCTCACTGCAACCTCTGTCTCCTGGGTTCAAGTGATTCGCCTGTCTCAGCTTCCTGGGTAGCTGGAACTACAGGTGCACACCACCATGCCCGGCTAATTTTTGTATTTTTAGTAAAGACGGGGTTTCACCATGCTGGCCAGGCTGGTCTTGAACTCCTGACCTTAAGTGGTCCACCTGCCTCGGCCTCCCAAAGTGCTGGAATTACAGGTGTGAGCCACTGCGCCCAGCCTGATTCTACCTCTTAAAGAGAGGAGTGGTAAAGAATTTGTGGCCATATTTAATCTACTGTAGGCCCGAAGGCCTCCATAAATGATCTGAGCAGCTCACTCTGCCCTGGGAAGGCCCATATCTGACATACCACCACCTTCCTCTCTTAAAACAGCACTATAAAGAGCTTGGTGTTCATTTTGCAGATCACTTTACGGGTATCAATCAGTTAGGAATGGCAAATGGCATTTGGCTCAGCGGTCGATTGCATTTTTGAAGATAGCCACTAATATATCTCCCGTCCCACATGCTATTCTAACAATGTGACATTGACAAGCCTCCACAGAGAGATGAGATCCTATATTTCCTCCCCTTGAAACTGGGTGGACCTTCACAATAGCCTTGACCGATGGAAAAGGGCAGAAGTGATACCATGTGACTTCAGAGACTAGATCATAAGGGGAAATACAGCTTTCACGCTCTCAGTACACTTGTTCTTGGAACCTAGCCACCATGTTATGAGGAAGGTCAAGCCACGTGGAGGTGCCCTGTGTGGGTGTTCCCACCAACAGCCCTAGTTAGGCTCTCAGCCCTCAGCCCTCAGCCAGCATCAGCTGCCAGACATGTGAGTGAATGAGTATTCAGATGATTCCAGCCCCAGTGTGAGTCTTCCAGCAGAGGCCCTGGATGTCATGGAGCAGAGAAGCCATCCCCATTGTGTCCTATCTGAGTTCTTGACCCACAGAAGCCAGGAGAGAGCATCATAATTATTGCTTTTTTAAGCCACTAGGATTAGGATAATTTGTTATGTGGCAGTAGATAATTAGTAAAAGCTGCCGGTAACAGACAAGAAAAAACAGTGGGCTTAAGCAGACTTACAGTTTATTTCTCTTTCTCATTGAAGTCTAGAGGTAGGCAACCCAAGGGATGACATGGAAACTTGCATGGTGTCATCAGAAGCCCAGGATCTTTTACCTTGTTGCTCTGCTATCTTCAGCACGTGGCTACAATTTTCAAGGTCACTTCCTGCTCCAAGATAGCTGCTGGTATTCCAGCTATCACATACGCATCCCAGGCTGAATGAAGGCTGAAGCAGAGAGGACAAAAATGGCCTTCACCAATACTGCTTCTATTCAAGGGGCATTCTTGGAGATCCCTTCCAGCACCTTCTGTTTATATCTAATATCCTATAATTCAGCCACACAGTCATACCATATATGCCAGGGAGGCTGGAAATATTGCCTTTTAGCTGGGCACATTGCCATCTGCAGCAAAACTGGGGTCCTGTCATTGGGGAAGGGAGGACAATGGATAGTGGGCAGTGGGCAGTTGTTGGCTATGGTGTTAGAGCAGAATGGTGGAAAAAGGGTCTTTCTCATGGCAAGGAGCTGGAACCAGCATGCTGGCCTCCCTACCCGCTGGAGCCTTTTTATTTATTTATTTATTTATTTATTTTTTGAGACAGAGTCTCAGGTGGAGTGTAGTGGCACAATTTCAGCTCACTGCAACCTCTGCCTTTTGGGTTCAAGTGATTCTCCTGCCTCAGCCTCCTGAGTAGCTGTCACAGGTCCCTGACACCATGCCCAGCTAATTTTTGTATTTTTTGTAGAGACAGGGAGGTCTCACCATGTTGGCCAGGCTGGTCTTGAACTGCTGACCTCAAATGATCTGCCTGCCCCAGCCTCCCAAAATGCCGGAATTACAGGCATGAGTCACTGTGCCCGGCCACCCACTGTAGCCTTCTTGAATAGAGTTTTCCACCTAATTTGCTTCTGAATGAGGAATTGATTTCACTTCCAAAGAAGAGAGGCTGTCGGTTAACACACAGGGAGAGCTCTGGTCTTTCACTCCACCCTCCCCACAGAGCCAGCAGGTAGCTGGACTTTTGCTAAATATCCTAAAATGCAGCCTTGACTGTATCACGTCCCTGCCCATCCCCCTTCCATGGTTGCAGATTGCCCAGTTTGCTCCAGTGTACGGACAAATTCTAGGGTTTGGCATGGAAGCTACAGCAAAGCCTTCCATGCTTTCTTGCTTCTATCTCCTCGTCACAACTCAGCTCATGCCCGGCAGCCAGGCCTTTGTCTGGGCAGCATCCGCTGTCTAAGACACTGCCTGCCCTGTCTTTGTTTAGGGAAATCCACCCATTCTCCGCACCCTTCCAGGGTCACCACTAGCTGTTATGCCACCTTTGCGTGAATGGGAAAAGGGTCCCCTTTCTCCAAGTGGATGTAGCTCCATGCCAGAGTTTGGGGAGTGGCCTGTAGGCTGGATTCCATGCACGCTTGCCCCTTAGCCCACTGCCCTTGCACAGTGAACACCCTTTACTGCTGCACATGTGACAATGCCATGTCCAGGAGTCTTTCAGAGCTCCATCAGGGAGTCAGGACCTTCCTTTTCCCTGATGTTTTCTCTGCCTTTGGATTCCATGCCAGCCTGCCCTGGTTTGGGGCTGTCCTTTCCAGCTTTGTGTCCTTCAACCTGCTTCGTGCCCTTTCCCCCAGATTGATAATGTCAGTAGTTGCTGGGGGGCACCGAACTCCAGTCACAGACCATAGCTCTTTCTCCCCACTTTGGGGACAAGCCACCACTCTCTTAGCCCTCAGCATGCCCAGCAACAGAATGGAATCCCCCACTGAGCTGCAAGAAGGGCCACCTTGACAATGCCTTAGCAGTGACCCAGGCCCAGATACCAGATTCAGGGGAGCCAGGTGCTCAGAACGACTCACACTTGAGTCTCAGAGGCCCCAGGCTAGGCAGGGGGGGTTTCCTCTCCTCCGCTTACTTTGTTCCTGGGAACACTGAAGCCCATCTCTGAGTCCCTTCCCAGAACCCCTCATCATGCCCTGAACCACGGAGGCCCATAATGCTTGCAGCGGTGGCCTCGGACCCAAGACCCAGGAATGCACAGGCCTTCCATTCCATACCTTTATTTAATCTGCATCTTCTCAGCCTCCTCCCTGCCCCACCACGCTTGAGAGGGTGTGGAAGCCTTCGTTGAAAGGGAAGGAACTCCTCTCTCCTCCCTGGCGGAGGGTCAGTGTCCCCTGGGCCAGGACTCATTGATGGGAGAAGCAAGGGCCTGCATGGTGGAGCAAGGACATCATCCAAGAGGCTGCGGGCGAGGCCGGGCCCCTCGGATGCCCTCTAGGTCTGGGCCCCACGGATCATCAGGAAAGTGAAGAGTAGATAAGTCCCGGAGGGCAAGGAGAGGGCGTCCCTGGGTGTGTGTGACTGATGGAGGCAGACATGGACTTTGGGAGGCAGGAGCAGAGGCCAGGGGATGTGGGGACCAGGTGAGGCCCTGAGAAGGAACCCCAGGTTGTACGGGTAGCTGAATGTGGGAGGAGGGTGCGGTGGACACCAGGCGAAACAGTACAGGTGCATGGGGCAAGGCTGTACTCCAAGAAGCAGGCTCCCAGTGGAGGAACAGCACTGCTAGGTCCAATCAGTGACTGGCCCTGAGCAGCGGGCGAAAGGGCAGGCAAGGAGGGGCCTATCAGGGGAGGATGGGAATGTTGGGTGAGTAGCAGGGCCAAGGCCATGGTGCCACCACAGCCAGCTCTTCAGCCCCAGGGAAGCCAACCTGACTGGGCATGGCCCCAACCCGCCAATTTGTGCTTCTGCATCGCTGGGAAGCTCCCAGCATGGCCTCAGCCCCGGCAGGGAAGTGTCCACAGGCAGCCTCTGCTGCAGGCAACAGCTGGCCACAGGACTCCTTCTCCATCCCAGCCTTTCTGGAAGCTTCTTCTCCTGCCCTTTGTGAGAGGCCTCCAGGCCAGATCATTGGCCATCTTGGGGGGTGAAGCCATGCTGGGGGCGATTCTTAGGCTCCACTTAGGTGGCCTCCGTTTCCTCCAAAATGACCACGGGTCACTGCATTTTAGTCTGTTTGAGGACCCCCACCCCCACCCTCACCCCTGCCCCTTGTGTGTGGCTGGTCTGTTTTCCCGCCTGTTTTGGACGACGATCACCGGGGCATCTAAGCCCATGGTGGAATGGTGGGGAGGGGGCTACTCTGGGGGCTGTGGGGGTCTCAGAGCGCACCCTGCCCATCCCCCTGGCAGCCGCTGTCTCCGTGGACAATGAGCACCGGGAAGTAGAGGGCGTCCTCATAGCAGGGCGGGCTCTCGAGGGGTTCTGTGTCCTCTCCACGGCGCCCCAGGGGCCCCCCGCTCAGGCTGCGGAAGACCCCTGGCGTGGCCCGGCCCCCAGCGCCTAGTGAGAGGCGGCTGCGGCTGAAGGGCAGACGGGGCCCGCTGGGCCGGGCGGGGGGCAGCGAGTTGCTGCTGACGGAGCGACGGCAGCGCTGGCAGCCTCTGAGGTAGGCGCCCGAGCCCGCGCCCATGACCACGGCCTCCGAGTAGCTGGGCACCAACTGCCGGTTGGAGCAGATGTGCCACTCGAGCTCAGTGAAGTCCACTGTGGCCACGCGGGACAGCGGGGGCCCGCTGGGTACGGCCCCGGGCGGGGGCGAGCTGGCGCCGAAGAGCTTCTCCACCTGGTAGTGCACGTGGGCCGTTCCATAGGCGGCCACGACGCGCAGGGGCCACGACAGCGTGGCCGCCGACACAAGCCAGAAGACCCAGGCGCGAGCGTACCAGGGCGGGCTGCGGGGGTCGGCGAAGACCATGAGCGACTCGCGGAAGTCCACGTCCTTCAGGTGCATGCCCTCGCGCGCCTCCAGGTAGTCGTCCAGGCCCTCGTTGGCGCTGAAGAAGCGCGCCCGCTGCGTGAGGTACGAGGCCTCGGCCTCTGCGCTGCCGAAGCTGAAGCACTTGGTGAAGCGCAGCCGCGTGGCCGCGTGCTCCGCCAGCCCCACCAGCTCCTTGGAGACGTCGCGGACGCCGTGAGCCGAGTAGTCAAACTCGCCGCGGGCCGTGCGGCTGTCGGCGCGCTCATGGTACACCTGCGTGGTGGTGTAGGCGTCGCCGTTGCGGTAGCGTGTGATCTGGCGGGTGCGCCGCACGTAGTGGTAGCTGGTGGCCTTCCACCAGACGCACGGCGGCGCCTGCTGCAGCCGGCGGATCAGCGCCAGCACCGTGTGGGCGTCGGTGCGTGGCGCCTGGCAGGACCGCACGTGACAGTGCCAGCACTCGGCCAGGTAGAGGAGGTAGAGCAGGGAGACGAAGGCCAGCGGGATGTACAGGTAGCCATCGGAGCAGGGGCTGGCCGGATAGGTGGGTGGCGGGCCACCGGCTCCCCGGGCCAAGGCAGCCTCGGGCCCCAGGACCAGCCGAGGCACTGTGGCCAGGCGACACCAGGCCACCACGGCGCCGCAGGCGTGGATGAGCAGCGTGAGGAGCAGGCACTTCCAGTGCGACTCGCGGCACAGGGAGCTTCCCAGGGACTGTTTCAGGGGCCGTTGCTGCAGGTGGGCAGAGAAAGGGAAGTCTGTGTCAGGTGGGGCCATCAGTGGGGCCTGCCACTTTGCTTAACCCAGCTGAGGGAGGTGATTCCGTGAGCCCCATTTTACAGAGGAGGAAACTGAGGCTCAGAGGGATGAGTAGCTTGCTCCAGGCTTCACATTTCCAGCTCACTCACAGTGGCGCTGCAGATTCAAACCCAGGACTCGCTGCCCCAAATCCATCCTCCACTGTGCCCTGCTAGCACTGGGCCAACTGTACACAGGACACAGCAGGCCCGCCTCTGCCAGAAGGGGTGGATCCTTGGACTGGCTATTGGCTACTGGCTATTGAGAAAATGAGTTCTAGCCCTTCCTCTGCCCTGATTTGCTGTGTGGACTTGGCTATATCTTTGCCCTCTCTGGGCCTTGATTCTTGGTCCTGTTGGTCTGGGAAGCAGGGGGAAGGGGTCCGAGGTGTAAACAGCATGGGCTTTGGAGTTTCACTGCCCAGGAGCCAGTGCTGGCTCCAGCACTTACTGTATGACTTGGGCACGTCCCTTATCCTCTCTGGACCTTAATTTCCTCATCTGTAAACTGAGTCTGTTGTGAGGATTCAACAAGATCATATGTGTGAAGATCTGGGCACAGTGTCTGGCCATGGGAATAAATATGGTCACCATTACCCTGAGACTCCCTCTGGTCCCTTGTTCCACAGGGACTTAGAAGACTCAGCAGAGGCTTTTGAGTCAACGGGAGCATCTAGAACGGGGGAGGTGCGAGTCTTGGGGTGGGGAGCAGATGGAGGGCCATCCTCCACTCATCTGTGCTGAGCAAGGGGGCGGGACACAGCTGCTGGGCAGCAGGGGCCACTCCCTGGCTCAGAGGGCTTGCCACACCCTCCCTGGCAGGGCTGCCAGCCTAGCTACCTCACCCCCAGGTGCCCATGGAGAGAGAAGCAGGTAGGTATACAGTGGGGAGAGCGGAAGGGTAAAAAGGGGTGGAAAAGGTAGAAACAACAAAAGAGGGGTTAAGGGGTCACCTCTCCTACCCCAGACCTACCAGGCCTCTAGAGGCCCAAGAGGAGAGGAACCATCCCCCAGTCCAGCCCAGATACACCCTGGCCCCGTCACACAGCACAGGAGCACAGCGCCACCTGACCTGCAAAGCCTGTCAGGTACACACACACTTGTCCACGCCCCTCCAACACATGCTCATCACAGACCCACCTACCATGGAGGGCCACACTGCCTGTCACCAGGAAACTCCAGACCCTCACCTGTCCCCAGAGCACAGACTCCCACAACCATAGCATGGTACACACACATAGCACACACACACGCACCACAGACCCATCCACCACAGGACACACACATGCACATACACGTTCCACATGCAGTGAAGCCCAGAGACATACCAGACCTTCACCTGACCACAGTGCACATCTCCCCACCCCCAATGCAACCTGACACCTTGGCTCCTCAGACCCCACAGGGAGAGACCCACCCACAACGGGACTGGCTCACATGCACACACCTAGACCACTGAGTGACAACCCGAGCCAGGCACCCACTCACCCCTCACCTGACTACAGGGTACACACACCCCCAATTCACACACCCACACAACACAAACACACAAGCAGGCTACATTCACCCAAATGCACACACAGCTCCACTCACCACCCTATCACCCCACACATCACTCGGGGCCCTAGGTCCTGAAGACCTTACTGGCTAGGGCTGAGGAGGGGCCATCTGGGGTCCCAGTCAGCAGAATGGGCCCTCAATCCTCACCTCGAGGACAAGGAGAAGGGGTACCCAGGCGCCTCCCTTCCTCTTACCCTCCTCCCCTCTAGGCCCTGCGACTGCTGCTGCATTGCAGGCACTGCCTGGACACCTCGTGAGCGGCCGGGCCGGGCTGGGGACCTGACCCCGCGGCCCTGGCGGTGGAAGCAGCATCCCCCGCTGGGCTGCGGCACTGGGACGCGTGGGGGCCAGGTGCTGACGTCACAGGACGGGCAAGGCTGGATGGGGGGCGCCGGGGGCGGAAGTCGCCCCCCATATTGCTGTCCAGCCCCACCCCTACCCCCAACGTGGGCCCCTGGACCCCTGGCAGGGCGGCAGGTGACCCCAATGACGTCATTGGCCGTAGGGGCTCTGGGACTTCCCTCCTCAGCCCCTCTCTTGGGGTCGCCTTCTGCACTGGTCCCTTTCACGCCGCCCCAGGCCCGGCTCCGGCCCCCCAGCGCCGGTACCTCTTCCCGCAGCGGCTCGCCGTCCGGGATGAGCGCGGGCACCTCCCCGCCGTCGCCAGCGCCGTCCTCGGGCATGGTGTCCTGGCTGCTTGGGCGGCCCCAGCCCGGGCACCGGGCATGATAGGGCGGAGCACGGAGGGCTGCGGCGCGGCCCCCAGGGGCGTCCGCTCGGCTCAGCGGCCGCGGAGGGAGTGCGCGGAGCTCGAGCCTGAGCGCAGCGCCGGCGCGGCGGCGGCGGCGGCGGGCGGACGGTGCGGCGTTGGCGCCCGGTCCCGGACGCCCCGCCTCGGCTGACCCTGCCCCGCGGCACCGGCGGCGCCGCCGGCAGCGCCTGGCACGGCAGGCGCTCCGCCCGCCCCCAAGAAGCCCCCGCTGGGCGGCTGGACCCCTGGATTCTCCTCTGGCCGCGCTCGCGCTCGCGACCTTGAGCTGGTCTAACCCTCTGGCGCCTGAGCTTCCCGGGCTGTAAAATGAGGAAGGAGAATCTCCAAGGTGGGTGGGCGCTCGCGGGGTCCCATCTCTAAGGAGTAGGCCCAGAGTTAAGCCCACCCAGATCCCATCCCTGAAGCCTCACTTGGAGAAGAGGGTAGTTACAGCTGAGAAAAGCGTGATGAGTTTCACTGGCTGGGCAGGGGTGCTGGACTCAGCTTAGGACAGGCAGGCTGGGGCAAGGACACCAGGGACCCTAGGCTGCGTGACCTTGGGCCAGCATGCTCCGCTCCCAACCTCAGTTTTCCCATCTGAGAAATGGGGATAGAGGCCGGACTGAGTGGCTCATGCCTGTAATCCCAGCACTTTGGGAGACCGAGGTGGGAGGATCACTGGAGCCCGGGAATTCCAGCAGCCTTGGAAACATGGCGAAACCCTGCCTATACAAAAAATTTTAAAATGAGCTGGGCATGATGGTGTGGTGCGCACCTGTATTCCCAGCTACTCGGGAGGCTAAGACAGGAGGATCAATTGAGTCTGGGAGTTAGAGGCTGCAGTAAGCTGTGTTTGCACCACTGTGCTCCAGCCTGTGTGACAAAGTGAGACCCTGTGAAGAAGAAGAAGACACAGAGAGAGAGAAAAGAAAGAGAAGGAAGGAAGGAAGGAAGGAAGGAAGGAAAGAAAGAAAGAAAGAAAGAAAGAAAGAAAGAAAGAAAGAAAGAAAGAAAAGAAAGACAGACATAGAAAGGTTTTGGATTCAGTTTACAAGCATCTCTCATGCCCTGTGCTTCAGCCTGTGTGACAAAGTAAGACCCTGTCTTGAAGAAGAAGAAGAAGAAGGAGGAGGAGGAGGAGGAGGAAGAAGAAGAAGAAGGCGGCGGTGGCAGAGGAGGAGGAGAGGAGTAGGAGGAGAAGGAGGAGAGGAGAAGGAGGAGAAGGAGGAGGAGGAGAGGAGGGAGAAAGAAGGAAGGAAGGAAGGAAGAAAATACATAGAAAGGCTTTGGATTCAGTTCACAAGCATCCATCGTGCCCTGCAGGGACATGGGAACTGGCTTGCATTAGATGACCCCTCCCAGGTACACTTGGCCCCAGTGCTACTTCCTGGCCCTCCAGGGCCTCAGATCTTCACATCTGTGCCTGGGTCTGGCTTTGCTCAAAAACTAGACAATCTGGGGAGAAAATAAGCTGCAATACTGGTGGGTTAATTCATTTTGTATGTGTGTGTGTTCAGGCAAAGAGCAACTCAAAGACCATTCAATTAAACATCCTTACCCACTTAAAGATTAGGTAACTGAGATGTAGACAGAGGAAAGGACTGGTCCAGGGTTTTATCTGTTTATTATATATTTGTTGGACACAGATGTTTACTGGGTGTCTTCTATATGCAAGTATTGTGCTTGGCACTGGGAAGGCAAGGGTGGAAGTGGAGAATGACAACAGGGCCTGTCCTCATGGAACTTACATGCAGGGCAAATTGGGTGCACCCAGAGGGGGCCTAGAACCCAGCCTATGACCTCCACCCCTGACCAGGTCAGGTCTCTGTTCCCTTTGTCTCTCTGAGAGGCACAAGCTGAACTGACTCTTAAAGATAACTAGGCTTATGGACAAGTGGATATGAGGGGGAAGGGCATCCGAGGTAGAGGGGACCTCTGGGCAATCAGACCACGTGGGCTGAGTTTGGGGAGCAGGAAGGTCATGTGGTGTAAGTGGACACCTGGTAGCTAATTAGAGAGGTCGTTCTCTCTAGAAAGCGGTGGCTGAAGGTCTGTGAGAGGGAGGCTCCTGAAGACTGTCTCCATGGGGGTGGAAGTGATCAGAACCTGGGTGGAGAGAAAGGAACCTCTGGGACTACAAGTGAGGCTTGGGGGCCTCACTTCGAGAAGACCACAGGCCCGGCGATGACTCAGGAGTTTCGGCTGCAGCTTCAGGACGCAGATCAGCACACCTCTGCCCCCAGATCTGCTGGACTACGGGAGAGTCTATGGGACAGGTCCTGGGCAGGATCCTGCCCCATCTATACCACCCAATCTCTGGGACTTCGGATCCTCTGGGCCCCAGTTTTGCAGTATGCGTGTATGTGTGCGTGCGGCCACGCGCTCGCTAGGAGCGTGTGGTTCGAGACCCCAAATCTTCCCATCCGCAGGCCCCCGGGAGTCTACAGGATGGCGGCAGAGGCGGGAGGGCATTTTCAGCACCGGACGACGGACAGCACCCGCGCGGAGAAGAGGAGTGGGAGGCGGGAGGAGGAGTCAGCATCCTGGGGCTTGATTGGCCGCTCAGTCACTGACAGTGGCGGCCTCCCACCACCACCTCCGGGGCTGCTGGGGCTCCGTTCCAGGACTGGGTGAAGTGTAGGTGACGGGGGAGGAAAACAAGCCCAGAGAGGGAGGAACAGGCGCCCCGAAGGCCAGAGCTTGGTTGGCGCTCGACCGCCCCATTCCCTCCTGGAGTACGTCCCACCAAGGAAGCTTCGTTCATGACTCTGGCCGCAGGTCTCCTCTAGTCTCCCTGGTGCAGTCGTGGCAGATTGCGTCAAGTGCCTCACCGCGCAGGCGCGCGAATAATTCTCGCCCACCTTCTTCCTTAACTCTTCTATTGGCTGTTCCCACCGTGAACTGGCAAGCCAGTGATCCAATCCTAGGCACCACAAGTTGCTCCTCCTGTCCCTCACCCGGATGTTGCCTTCTGCCGAATCCGCTCAGGCTAGAGCCAGTCAGTGGCCAATTGGGAGAGGGGTGGGGCGAGCCGGAGACGCCGAAGAGCCAATGGCAGGCGCGGGGGATGACGCCGCGGACATGGTGGCCGAGACCGGCGGGGTGGGGGACGTGTCGCGCGGCGGGGTGGCCTCGGTCTGTACTTTGGGCGCGGAGCAGCTGCCTTATTAGTATTCGTACCCACGAGGCGGCGCAGCGGGCCCTCGGGGAGAGAGAGCGTCGCGGCCATGGCTTATCACTCGGGCTACGGAGCCCACGGTGCGTGGGGCGCTGGCGGGGCGCGGCGCGGCGCGGCGCGGCCGGCGGGGGGAGAGTCGGCGGCGCGGCCCGCTCACCCCGAGGGAGATAGCGACTGGGACCGCTGCCCAGGGCGGGGGTGTCACTCGGGTTCCTGCCCCTCGCAACACTGCAACGCGTCCCGGACTTCGCTCTCTCGGCCCAGTCGTGAGACCGGGCGGTGGTAGCACAGCTGGGAGTCCCATGGCGGAGTCAGGGAAAAACGGGGTCCGCCTCCAGAAACTCCTTTCACTCTTGTGAGCCTGGTAAGGTCCCTGAGCACTGTCCAGGGCCTCCGGGTAGCCAGCTGTCGCCTCTCCCCGGTTTGTTCACACAAGGATGCCCTCCCAGTTAACTGCCCTCCCAGTTATCTGCAACTTCTACTCACTATGGCTCAGTTCAGAGGTCACTTCCAACGAGAGGCCTTCAGAAACCCCAAGTGGGCAACCACTTCTAGGCGCTGCCTCAGCTCTTCCTTTGCCTACATTTAGCAACGGATTCCTCGCAAAGGATCCCTCATCAAAGTTTTTTCTCAGTTAGCTCCCCCTCACCCAGCTTGGGGTCTCCTCACTGATCGGTGCCTGCAGGACCCGTGCAGGGCTGTCCAGCCAGGGAAGGGGCGGTGGCTTGGGCTCATGCTTGGTATTTCTGTCATCTACTCTGATACCTCCAAACCCACAGGCTCCAAGCACAGGGCCCGGGCAGCCCCGGATCCCCCTCCCCTCTTCGATGACACAAGCGGTGGTTATTCCAGCCAGCCCGGGGGATATCCAGCCCCAGGAGCAGATGTGGCCTTCAGTGTCAACCACTTGCTTGGGGACCCAATGGCCAATGTGGCTATGGCCTATGGCAGCTCCATCGCATCCCATGGGAAGGACATGGTGCACAAGGAGGTGTGGCCTGCCCCCAGGGCACGGGTGGCAGAATTTTTGGCGAGGGCTGGGACATCATGGGATTCCACCCGATTCCTCACAGTGTCCTCAGGGATGGAGAACACGGAGGGGCATTCTTGAGGCCTGGGGTGCGGCTTGCCCACAGCCTCCTTTCTCCCCTCCCAGCTGCACCGTTTTGTGTCTGTGAACAAACTCAAGTATTTTTTTGCTGTGGACACAGCCTACGTGGCCAAGAAGCTAGGGCTGCTGGTCTTCCCCTACACACACCAGGTGAGCTTCCTATCAAGGGAGCTGGTGGGCCTTCCTCATTGTGCCGGAGTCTGGCGCCCAGACCTCAACCCCCTTCTCTCCTCTTTTCTCTTCTTCCCCTCCTGATGTGGCCACTGCTGCCACTGCCAGAACTGGGAAGTGCAGTACAGTCGCGATGTTCCTCTGCCCCCTCGGCAAGACCTCAACGCCCCTGACCTCTATATCCCCAGTGAGTCTCCGACCTGGGCTGGGGAACGTGGCGGGGTAGGGTCCGGGGGGATTTGTGTCTTGAGGGATGAATGGGAAGAGAGGCTCAGCTACTGAGTCAGCATCTGTTCTTGGTGCTTTGTGTATGTATGGCAGTTGCAAGACACCAGGCAGGCAGTGCAGGGTTACCAGTAAGGAGCTTCCTAAATGTGCCTTCAGTGTCCCCAGGACACCCTTTTGAGACCTTCCTGTCTCTTGATTTGGATTATATCCCTCCCCAGCCTGGAGCTCTGGGTTTAGACCTGGCTTTGCAGATTCCAGCTGTGGGACTTTAGGCTGGTTATTTGTACTTTTCAGTAAAACAGGACCAATATAGTCCCTACCCCAAAGGACTGTTGGAGAGATTCAGCAAGGTGATGTTTGCTCAGCACCTCACCTGGCACACAGGAAGGACGTAGGAAACATCAGCTGTTACCATCGTTATTACTTGTCCTCCAAGGCGTGCTGTTATCCCTTCTTCCAAGAAGCCTTTCCTGAGCCCCTGAGCAAGTGCTGGCTCCCTCTGGGTTCCCACAACTGCCAGTCCACATGGCATTTTTCAGGCTGCTCACATGTGCAGCTGACTCTATCCTGTTGGCTGCATAGGGCCAGGCCCATCATGGACACCCAGGGTGAGTGAGTAAGTGCAGTGACCAGCCCACAGATGAGCTTCCAGTGAGGGCAGCCAGTGGGACTGAGGGCAGGCAGCCAGCCTAGGTGTGCTGGGCAGCACAGGGGTTCCTCCATCCTTCATCCCGTGTGCCCATCGTAGCCACCGTGTAAGGCTGGAACTGGCATCCCCATTTTACTTGTTGAAGCCAAGCTTCAGAGGAGCTTCAGTATTTTTGAGGCCTTAAGAGTTGATGGGCGGTACAGCTGATTTCCTGACTCCAGAACTCCAGACACTCCCTGCTGGTGGTCATGTCAGTGCTTTTTTTTTTTTTCCTTTTGAGACAGGGTCTCACTCTGTCACCCAGTCTGGAGTACAGTGGTGTGATCTTGGCTCGCTGCAACCTCTGCCTCTCACGCTCAGGCAGTGATCCTCCTGCCTCAGTCTCCTGAGTAGCTGGGACTGCAGGCTACAGGCGCCCGCCACCATGCCCAGCTAATTTTTGTATTTTTAGTAGAGACAGGGTTTTGCTATGTTGCCCAGGCTGGTCTTGAACTCCTGGGCCCAAGTGATCTGCCTGCCTTGTCCTCCCCAAGTGCTGGGATTACAGGCATGAGCAACAGCACCCTGCCAGTTCTAGTGCTTTAAGCGAGGCAGAAGACAGAGTTAAAACTGCTGCTAATGCCCAGCTCCCACTGGCTCTGAGCTTTTATGAACACTACCCAAAGTTAAACTTGGAGTTCCCTGCATTGTTGGGCAGCCAGAGCCCTACCAGTGCCGAGACTCAGAATTGCTGACTGAGGTGAGGTCATCCCCATGGCCCCAGACTCTAGGGAGAGAATGGGTGTCCACTGAACCTGCATTCTGGTCTTGCCAGAAACCAGTTTGGTCCCTGTCTAGGCAGAACAATGGCCTTGGCCCATGATACAGTTTCTGAGATGCAGCAGAAAACTGATGAGCTTCCCAGCACAGAGGTAGGAAAGGTGGCTTGTGGTCCTGGAAGAAGGGTCAGGTGGCATTTACACAGTGGGAGAGGGCTGATTGGAGACAGGCATCCCAGGCAGGGCATTTGGGAGCAGAATGTGGAGGTCAGGCCATGCTGGGCTATGCAGAGAAGGAAGTATGGGGCGTGTCAGTGACCCCAAATGCCTAGGAAGGCAGCTCTGATTGAGGAAGCCAAGCTGATGGCATCTCTCTGGCACTTGGCAGCGATGGCCTTCATCACTTACGTGCTCCTGGCTGGGATGGCACTGGGCATTCAGAAAAGGTCAGTGCCAAACCCCTCCCTTACCCTCCCCTTCCTGTGAGCTCTTCTCCCAACCTCCCTAGGGCATATGTGGTGGTCCCCAGTTCACCCTCTGTTGTCCCAGTCTCTCATCCTCACCCCTGCCTCAGGATGCCTGGCTCTGAGCCGCCCCTGCTTTGGCACAGGTTCTCCCCGGAGGTGCTGGGCCTGTGTGCAAGTACGGCGCTGGTGTGGGTGGTGATGGAGGTGCTAGCCCTGCTCCTGGGCCTCTACCTGGCCACCGTGCGCAGCGACCTGAGCACCTTCCACCTGCTGGCCTACAGTGGCTACAAATACGTGGGGTGAGCACCTGTGGGCCAGAGGGGTGGCCTTGGGTCTGGGTCTGCATGGCTGTAGCCTCGAACTGTGACCCTGGACATGTCTTGGCCCCCAGTGACCTCGAGCACTGCTCTGTTAAGAGGGAGGAGCTGTCTCCAGCAGTCTCCTGAGGACCTGGGTGCCATGCAGAGGTTGGGGAGGTGTTGAGAGTCACTCTGCCAGAGTCTTGGGGAGAGAAGGGGATCTCAGATCCAGGTCCTGGGGCTGAATCCTGAGCCTTCCATATCCCTTTGGGGTCTGGGTCCCTGTGGGGACAGATTGAGAGTAAAAGGCGCTGTGGGACGTGGGGTCTAGCTGGGCTCTGGGCATTGGGGGTAGGGCCAATCTCAGGCCTAGACTCCTGGGGGTCACCAACCCTTTCCTCCTCCCACCCCCAGAATGATCCTCAGTGTGCTTACGGGGCTGCTGTTTGGCAGTGATGGCTACTACGTGGCGCTGGCCTGGACCTCATCGGCGCTCATGTACTTCATTGTGAGTGTGGTGTGCCCCCCATTCCCCTGCCTTCGCTTGAGGGCACACCTCCCCTCCTGGCCAGCCTTCAGCTCTCCTTTCTTCCAGGTGCGCTCTTTTCGGACAGCAGCCCTGGGCCCTGACAGCATGGGGGGCCCCGTCCCCCGGCAGCGTCTCCAGCTCTACCTGACTCTGGGAGCTGCAGCCTTCCAGCCCCTCATCATATACTGGCTGACTTTCCACCTGGTCCGGTGACCCCCTGGCCCCAGATGGCACTGAGTTTTTCATTCATTGAAGATTTGATTTCCTTGACTTTGTCTGACCTTTGTTCCTGGGGCCTGACGGGGAGCTACGGATACCTCTGGGCCTCTCCATTGCCCAGGGGACTGGGCTTGGAGCTGTCTAGGAAGAAGGTGGGCCCAGGGAGGGCTTCGTGACTTTGGTGGCCTTGATACTGCCTTGTAAGGGTTTCAGCAGCCTCAGCTGGGAAAGAGAAGATGGAAGGAGGCTGCTGAGGGGAACTGGAAGGCCTCTGATCCCTCTGGGGGGCTCCAGCAGGGTCTGTGGGCTAGTGGGGTAAGACAAGCCAGGCTGGGGATTCAGCTTAGGGCTGCCCCCTATACAGTCCCTGTAATTGGCCCCCATCTCCTCTTCAAGCTTTCCAGGAGCAGAACCGGGGCCCACATATTTGCAGTAGTTTATTCATATTTTGTCACAAATGGCCGGGGAGGGGGTGCCGGACTCCTCCAGGCGACATAGAAAATAGGTCCAAGAGACAAGGTGGGCTGAGGTTGGGGCAGATGGAGACAGGGCTGGAGAAAGAGCCTGGGGGAGAGGGGAGGGCAGACTAGGGGTGGGGCTGCCCCCCTGCTGAGCCTGCTCATTCCCGGTGCGGGTACCCCCCCACCTGCAGGGGGAGCCTCAGGGTGGGGGTGGAGGGGGGTGGCCCAGAATTTCCAGGGTCAAGCTCTGCCCCTTGGCAGGGCCCAAGTTTCCCCCGAAATGGACAAGGCCGGAGGTCCTGCCCTTTCCAGGACTGACTGCCATGCCCACAGGCTGGCAGAGGAGCCCCTGCCCCTGTTTAGAGCTCTGCCCAGCCGCTCTAGTCCAAGGGGGAGGGCTCTGAAGGTGGGGGGGTCCCCGCAGCAGCAGTTTGGGGGTTGGAGAGGCTGGGGGCACCAGTGCCCCCTCCCTCCCCAGGGCTGAGGCCTCTGCGGCCAAGGGGCAGGGCTGGGGGTGCACAGGCGTCCGGTCCGTTCTGGGCTCACTCCCTGGCCGGCTTCCCCCTTAGAAACTCACCAACGTATAAACCATACTGTGGGAAGATGAGCCAGTGAGCCTAGCCCTGCACACACACAGCCACCCAGCTACCCACCTGGCCACACCCTGGGCTGCCCTCAGTCCTCAAGGGCAAAGGGCATTGGAAGTGTGATGCTGGGGCATCCCTTCCCTGAGTTCTGACTGCTGTGGGCAAGGCCTCACCTGTACAGGTAATAGAAGAAGGAGAGCAGGTAGAAGGCAAGTTTGCACCAGGACTCCTTCTGGCAGTAGTTGAGAATGTCAGCATTCATGATGGAGACCGCATCATACATGACCTCAGAGCCATCTGCAGGACGGTGGAAGTACCTGGGGCAGACAGGGGCTTGAGTGTCTGCCATCAAGGCTCCCACCCCCATCCTGTCCCTGTTCCCCATCTCAGCCTCCCCAAGGCAGCTGCTCCCCTCACCTCCAGAGGTGGTAGAAGAGGAGGGGGATGTTGAGGCCCAGGGTCACCCACTCTGCTGCACACAGAAACATCAGACAGAAGAGGCCGTGGATGGAGTATTCTGGGACCACCAGCTGGGGGAGTGAGGGTGAGAGGTCAGCGGCCTGGTGCTCTGACAGACCCAGGCTTCAAGGGCACAGAGAGGAGCTGGGGTTTGGAAGGTGCCCACCCACCGTGACCTCTGGAGATTAAAAGGCCTCTGGCTTCCCACTCCCTCCCAAGTAGCAGAGTGGATCAAACAGGCCCAAAGCGGGGGACGGCCTGGTTCTGGGCCACAGACAGTGGGGACAGCGCTGGGCTAGGAGCCTCCTGCCCCCAGCCCTGACACTGACCTTCCTCAGGAGGCAGCAGATGCGTTCGATGTTTTTTAAACGCTCGCGCTGTTGGGGGAAGCAAAAGGCCGCGATGGGGGAGGCGGAGAAGCAGATACTGGAGCAGCTCCCACCGCCCCGCATGTGGCCGCCAGGGGGCGCCAGAGCGGTCTCTGCGGCACTGTCGGAGCGGCCGGGAAGCAGCCGCGCCGTCCCCATGGCGACCGTCACCATGGAGGGGCCTTCACCCGCGTCTCCAAGGCAACAGCCCAGAGCCTGGCAACCGCCGCCCCGCCAGGAGGAACTCAGCCCTGAGCACGCGCCAGGTGTTTGCTGGGGGCGGAGACAGAGAGGAAGGGGGCATGGCCGTAGGCCCCCCACCCCACCCCCGTCTTCCCGTCTCCCACTCCCAGCCCACGACGGATGGAAAGACGGACAGACACACCTCGGCACAGCACATGTATCACTTACTGCCCGCGCAGGGTTCCCCTGGTCGATGGGGTTCTTGAAGTCGGTCCGCAGCTCATCAAAGGCTATGATCTGGGGGAGGGGCGTGTGCCCGTCAGGGTTGGGGCAGCAGTTTATGACCTTCCCCCCAAGTCCTTCTGTGGGATAGGAGTTTACTGAAGAGGACCAGCCAGGTGGAGCTTGTTGCAAAGGTGGAGAAACCGAGGCCCAGGGAGGGGCAGGGCCTGGTCCAAGGTCATCACAACAGTCCAGAAGGGAACCCTAGCGTCTGGATGCCCAGTTCAGGCCCATGTCCACTACACCTCCTTCCGAAACATCCCAAGACATGGCCTCGTGTCTGCCCTACCAGGTCTCAGGCCCTGTGCTGAGCACTGGGGCTCCAGAGGCCTGGGATGCAGCCTCCGCTCGGGAGGAACCCACGCCCAGAGGGATGATCACTCTACGTTCCAGGTGATCAGGGTTTAGGGTACAGGACCTGGAGTGGGTGCTTAACCCTGTGTGGAGGGTGAGGGAGTTCAGGCTCGACTCGGAGTAGGTGTTGGTGAGCAAATGGGGGAAATGCAGTTCAACCAGAAGGTGCAATGGCAGAGGGGTGAAAGGTCAGGAGACATTCAGGAGGCTGCGGGTCTCATGGGGCTGGCATGACAGCGCGGCGAGCAGGAAGAAAAGAGGGAGTGGTGGAAGAGGAGCTGGAGAGTTCAGCAGAGCCAGACATGGACAACCTGTGAGGCTGGAGCAGGAGGTTGGACTCTAACACAAAAACATTGTGGGGAGGCATGAAGAGTACACAGCAGCAGAGTGGGGTGGTCAGGCCCATGTCTTAGGATTGGTCCATGCCTCAGGATTGGTGGGGCAGGAAATCCGAGCTCACTGACAGTCACAGCTGAGATCTAAGTGGTGCTCCTGCTGGCAGGTATGTGGATTAATTCATTTAATGCTTACAACCTAATGATTTAGGTACTAGTTTTATTTTCATGTCTATTTTGCAGATGAGGAAGCTGAGACAGGTTAAGTGACTTGTCCAGGGTCACACAGCTGGTTAGTGGATTCTAACCCAGTGTGACTCCAGAGTTAAAATTCCTAACCACTGTGTCATACTCAGGTCAGACCAGCAAGGGGACAGTTTGGAGGGTTAGGGGCAGGGCTGATGGTGGTCTGAGTGAGGAGAGTTGTAGTGGAGACAGAAGGCGTGTATGCGATTCTACAGCTCTTTAGGAGCCAGACTCCAGAGGGTTCAAAGGGCCGAGAAGTGAAGGCAGAAGTCTAAGGTGTCTTCAGGTGTTAGGGTGTCTGGCAGACGGCAGTGTCCTCACGGGTGGAAACTCTCCAGGGGAGCAAGTGTTTGAGGGGATGATGGGATGGGCCTGGGAGGAGCTGACGGGTGACTTGGGGGAAATGGGCTGGCAGAGAAGCCTGCTGGGATCCCCTCCCATCAGCTCCAGCCCTAGGATGAGGCAGCAGGCCCACCACCCCCAGGCATCCCAGAACCCAGACGGCTCAGAGAGAAAGAACATGGGCTTCCTGGAGGGAGCTGGGGCCATCTGGATCACCCCCCCCCACCCAGTTCCTCATTGACTGGGCAGCCGCCGCTTGGCACGCACAGCAACAGGGTCCACAGGGAGCAGAAGGGTGCCGTCTGTGCCCCAGAGCTGGCATCACCAGCAGGCGGCAGGCGTCGCGCCTCCCACCCCCCAGGCTGCCTGGTGCTGACTCAGCCCCCCGGAACAAACAATCCCCCACGGTGACAGCTGACACGCATCACTCACCACCAGTGTTGCCTAGGAACCACTGGGGCCTGGGCTGAGGGTCTGGAGTGGGATCTGGGGTCCTGCCCTGTTAAGAGTCTAGTTCTTAGCAGCTGTGGACTGAGGACCACACCTCCTATCCCCTACCACCCAGCAGGCCGCACTAGGCACTCTGATGTGCACAGGTCCACTTTGCCAGTGAGGAACCAGACTCAGGACAAATGACTAGATAAGATCATCCAGTTAAATGGCTGAGTGGACACAGTACCTCACATAGGTGCTCAATCAATATCTGTTGAATGAACAAAGACATTTCTTCAAAGCTTGGGCCTTTCCTCCCAGCCTGGGCACTCCACAAGGGCAAAGTCTGGTTTTATTCATCCTTGACCCCCTCAAAGCCACCCAGAGCCTGATCTTTGGGAAGCATCAATGCAGGTGTGGTGGATGGAAAACTGCTGAGAATCCCCTGAGGGCAGGGACCCCACAGGGCCTGTGGGAAGGTCCTGGGTGGGGAAGGCCCCAAAAAGGGGCATCCTGAATTCCAGAAGCCCTTCTCCTAGGAGCTGGTCAGCTCTGCATTCCCCAGCCTGTGGCCTCCAGCTCCCTTCAGCCCTTAGAACCCTAGCCCTCCTGCCCCTACCTCACAGAAATAAAAATAGAGTAACTCGGGGTCGGGGGGAAGTGGGGGGAAAGACAAAGCAACCAAGACCCAGGGAGACAGCAGAGCCAGGCCAGGGAGTGACAGGGCTGGAGCTGGAGTGTGTGCTGAGGTGCCTGTGGGGGCTCACTCCTCACACAGTATAGGTTCAGTCAGTCTATGGAATCCCGATGGCAAAGAGCAAGGTGGCAGGGGATGGCAAAGGGAGCGCAGGGGGAACCATGGAGCAGGCAGCAGGTCCCAGGAAGAGAAAGGAGAGAGGAAGTGGGGAGCCCGGGGAAAGAAGCAGGTGAGGCACTAGGAGGAAGGAGGGAAGGGTTATGGGAAATGGGATTGAGGGAGGGGTAAGAGGACCCCCGAAAGGG